TGTTAGACGCTAATCACAGTCGAAACAAGCATAGGAACATAGTTGAGATAAAAATACACTATTTTATGAATTGGATAAATAGTGTCCTGTTCACTGAAGCAGTGCTGAAAACATAAACGTCTTCATTGCTTCAGTCTACCACACCAAATGTATATGTATCATAAACATCATAGATGGTTTGGGTTGGAAGGGACCTTTAAGATCATCTATTTCCAACACCCCTGCACTAGGCAGGGACACCTCCCTCTAGAACAGGCTGCTCAAAGCCCCATCCAGCCTGGCCTTGAGTGCTTCCAGGGAAGTGGCATCCACAGCTTCACTGGGCAGCTTGTCCCAGTGTCTTCAACAAGGCCAAAGGTGAATACCTTGGGAAGAATGTAAAACTTAGGTAAGCATTCCCTAATCCTCTCCCAGTCTATAACAATATGCAAATAAGGAACTGCCGTAGACAAGGGCAGCGTCTGTCTGTTTGCTCAATAGAAGGTGGCCATTGATGAATTTTTTTATGAACTTCCTGTTTAAATGGTGTAAACTTCTAGCATCCATATGTGGCAAACTTAAATCACATTTTGTGAAGAATCTTTTTTTTTTTTGGTCTGTCTAGGATTAGTTGTCCTTTGAGAGCAACCACCTGGTTTTTGTATTGGTCTACTTAGTGAAGTCTTTTTCCAAACCACTCATAATTTTATTGGCATTTCTCAGACTCCACACTGTCTTTTCTTTCCTGGCCTGAACATCCACCAGTCTGGTTAATTATCTCATAGTTACCACTTGTTGCAGGTAGTGCTAATTGAATAGAAAGAGTGGATTTTTATTTTTATTTTTTTTTTAAATTGAGGCCCATAAGGTAAGAATAGGTACAATGAACAAGATTTTGTTCAATTATTGAGATACTCTTGAAAACAGGATGCAGCTGAATAGGGAAGAGTTCAAGATGCTGAAGCTAGAGTACAGACACAGGAATATGAAGCAGTCATACCAGTTACTGCTGTAGGAATGTTTCTGAGGGTTGTGGTGCATGCAGTTGTTACTGTTCATAGAGATGTGGTATGCAGGTAGAATCTGCTATAATGAATTAACACAGAATTGGCTAATCCTACTCTGCCTGATGTTGTAGATTATTTGCTCTCTTTGCATTTTAGAGGAGAAAATGTGACCTTAAATGAAGATAACGAGTAAAAAATTAGTGATAGTTTAACTTAGTAAGAAGCTGCAGATGGAAACAGGCAAAAATTAGAGGAACAATCTGTTTCTCATGTTTATCATGCAGAAAGCAAAAAGCAAAAAAAGCTTAAATGACAGCAGAGAAGCTTCAGGTTAACTGCTGGCAGGAATGTGAAAGGGCTGGAAAAGATTGTTAGATTATGGAGACTTTATCACCAAATTTTTTTAAGGATTTGGAAAAATGTCAGACAAAATTAATTAGAAATAATATATGTTTTATTTATACAGTTTTTATCCACCCACACATATATATTTCCTTGAACTGAGTAAACATTATTCCTTGGAGATGCCATTGTAATTTACAGGGTTGCAGAAGAAAAAAGAGAGCAGTTTAACAAGAAAGAGGATCAAGAGGAGCAATGTTCATAGTTGTCCATAGGAATAACCATTATTTGACTTTTACTTTCCCTCACCCATGGCTTGACTGGATTCTGTCTCCTTGCTGTGTCAAACTGCTTCCTATTCACACAGAATGGTACTGCTGATGAAGTAAGCAAACATGGAGTGTGTGAAAGCATTTCCTGAGAGTGTTGCAGTCATTATGACTTTAAATTTTGAGCGCAAAGAGCATGCAAACACAACCAAATGCATTCACTTTAAAGTATAAATAAGTGTGAACAGACTTCTTTGTTGTTGTTGTGTTCATCCATGCAATAATAATTAGTATGCAGCTATGCTTGAATAATGGCGCATCATTCCAATGAAGATGTTCCATCTTTTGGATGTATGTACCAAAGAGAGTATGGTTAATTCACATTGACTTTTGCTGTGTTTTATAGCAGTGGCTGAAACAGAGAAATGGAAAATAGACTAGATTAGGAATGGTGGTTGCAAAATTCACTGTTTAATTGTAAATAAGGAAAACTGTGCAGTCCAGAACCTATGAATGTGATTGTTATGAAAAAATGCATTGTTTCCACTAAAAGTCTAAAAGATGAAGTAAACATTAGTGTAATAAAGATCGTGAATTATATGGGAATGGCTTAGTTTATGCAGCTATTGGAAAAGAGTGTTTTCTTTTATAATTCTAGAATGTGATGGTGATTTTTAAGCATGTGAACAATAAAAAGAATTCTAAGGTTTAATTTAGATAAGTGTGAAGTAACGTGTGTAGGAAAATATTATTTAATGCAAATACATATGACATAAAATTACTTGCTTAAAAGATTTGCAAAGGAGTAGTGAATAATGCCATGCTACAGTGAGGCTGTACATTGAAGTATGTTGCTTATCCTGAATTGTATACACAGTGAACACTCATTCTTTCTGTATGAGGACAGGACTCATAAATGCTAATGTATGTCTGATCTCACAGCTGTCCATAGCAAGCACATCTTTACCAGAAATGTTAGTACTTCTGATAACTGCTTCCCCTGTATTTTCATTGTTTTCAGTATGCCAAAACTGGAGGTAAAGTAGTGGTCATGTTGCACAGATGTAACACAATACTTTGCAAAGCTAGGATGATACGAAATCTAATAGGCTTTACTTCTGGGCCATTCCATAGGTTTACTATAAACACTGATGACATTTTCAAGTTCCTATAGTTGGTATCTACCACAGAATGACCCATTTGGTTATTGCCCACCATTGCTGCCTATGCACTGAAGACTTGTATATGTGGCTTTCAGTTCCTACCGGCCCTGCATAGGAAAAAAATTGTCAAGCTTCAGGCTGCCACTGGGAATACATAAAGCAACTTTCTCTCTTTTTTATTTTTTTATTTTTTCCCTTTCAACCTAGTATGAAAGCTCTGTGCTATACTGGATAAGAATTATGAATTGCAGTGTATAATTCAAATTCTTTATATTGTGTCTAAGAGACAGGAAAACAGAAATTTGTTTCTAGTATCTTATTACTATTTTAGCGTAATCTATTTCTAAAATCATTTTACGGCCTTGGATTTTTTCTGTAGTTGCATTAAGAAACTGCACATCAAATGATCAGATTAAGGTTTTCCTTAAAAATATCTATTAGAAGCAGGAAAGATTCATTTTCACTCTAGTACTGAATTTCAATGTAGGCTAGAATAAAAAATAAAATAAAATCTCACAAAATAGAGGCTCTATTTTATTTTGCTGAACAAGAGTAATCTTTTTTATGGCAAATATCAAAAATTAATAAATTTAATTAATTAAAAACAAATTAATTAATTTGTGCATTAATTATAAACAAAACAAACAACAACAATTACAACAAAAAAGAGAGAATCCACAAGTGAGTGATCTGCTGAACTTTCAGTTTGAAGGGAAATAAGGAAGTAGTTCCCCACAAATTTTTCAATTGAATCAGAGTCATATTCTTTTCAAGTGTCTGCAGATGTTATTCAGCCCCTGCACTGTAAGCTTCCTAATCCTGCAGAACTGCAGGAATTTACCTATTCTTGAATTAATGTTCAATTTTAAGTATTTTCTATGCTGCTTGGTTCATTCAGTTGGTTTCTTGTGAGCTTGCCAATCTAATTTTAATGTTCTCATCTTGCATCTCACTGTCATGTTTAAAACTAAAGCATTCTATTGGTCAGTAGCTCATAAAAATGGTTGGCATGCTCTGCATATTAAGATTAATGTTAATAGCAGAAAAGATTACCCATTTCCTCATGGAGTTTAAAATGAATCAAAGGAAGAGACTGACCTTTCCTTCGCTGCTTTGTAAGAAAGGATCTAAAGAGAAACCATGTGGAAGAGGCTGCAGTGCTATAGGATTAGCTGTAATTGTGTCCCATTTAGCTTCTGTCTGGTTTTGGTAGGAGGAGATTTCATTAGATGAAGTGTGAGAACCCCACAAAGATACAGCTGATTGAGTAAAAGTGTTGGTTTTACAAGGATCAGTTTTACTTACTCTCCAACAGCCAAATGGAAAAGTCCTGTGGATTTTTAGTATAATCCTATTGACTTGTTTGCTGATTGAGTCTCTGTAAAATTACAGACAGTAAATTCGGAAAAACCCACTCAGTTCTGCAGGAGCAGCCCCTTTATGGCCATTTCTCCTCTCTTTGTGCAGAAACTACCTGTTTCTGCTCCTTTGCATGCCAGAAAGGATTATTATTCTAAGCCCTTAGATTTTTGGATTTAAGAGTTCCGGCAAAGTAAAACCTGGAGTAAGTGGGGTTCACTCCTAGGTCTCTTGTGTTTAAAGCAGTGAACCTCATGTCTCTGCACCTCTGTAATAGCATTAACTACATTAAAATAGCACTGTATAAAAAGAAGTATTACTCTGTGATATTGGTAGGTAAGGCAACATGTTATTTGCTTAAATTGCGAAGAAAATTCATTAGTTGCAAGGAAGTACTTTGTTGTTAGGGTAAGTCTTTCTCAAGAGAAAGTATCCAACACAGAATGTCTTTCATTATTTGAGTTGAATCAATGGCTTATGAGACAGTGCTTTCTTCCTAACTTTTATTTAGCCAATTATGTGTCATTTTATTGTGTTTTACCATAGTAGGTTTCATGGCAGTTTTAGCCTTTCTGTTGCAGTACTAGCTGAATGCTTTCTCATTTGGTATTGCCTTCAAAGGGGTTCTGTAACTTTATTCAAGAGTAATATTTAAAACTTATTTTTCTTCAGCTCTTTTGAATTGTCAGTCTTTTTGTCATTATATTCTTTTTTTTTTTTTTTTTTTTTTCCTGTAAGGCAATGCAATGCTTCTAAGTGGCAGGTTGTATGCCAGTACTGAACTATATTAGCAATTTACATGTACTTAAGATCAGCTGAATAAGACTGCTTTGTAACCAGTCAATAAAGCTCACTTGTTTCTACACTATTTTTATTTTTAGGAATGTTGTCTCTGCAATTTGAGAGGCGGTGCATTAAAACAAACTACTGACAAGAAGTAAGTAATATATTCTTTGAGATTGCACATTTTTGTTTAAGATTTTTTTCCTAACACATTCCTATGTACTCAGCATTTGTGATCTTAATTACTTGACAGTGTGCCTTTAAGATGAATCTTTGCAGAATTAAATTTACTCCTCCTGAAATGTGTCATTGGCATTTTGTGAAATAGTTAGATGCTAAAATGTGTATTTGTTTTAGTATTTGCACACGCTTCCTTGTTTCAGATTCTATTCTGCTTGTTGTTGTGTAAAGAAAGCAAATGAGAGCTCATTTGTCATTGTTTGCATGAGAAAATCTTATCAAACAGTGAAGTGTATTTTATTCTTTAGCCCTGAAAATTTGTTATTACAGAATTTATACAGAATCTTTGAACTTCTCCTAGAAACAATATTTTAAATTAATTAATCTTAATCACAGAATCATAGAATCACCAAGGTTGGAAAAGACCTACAAGATCATCCAGACCAACCATCCACCTATTACCAATAGTTCTCACTAAACCACGTCTCTCAACACAACATCCAAGTGTTCCTTGAGCACGTCCAGGGTTGGTGACTCCTCCACATGGGCACCCCTTCCACTGCCTGACCACCCTTTCAGAGAAGTAATATTTCCTAACGTCCAGCCTGAATCTCCCCTGGCGCAGCTTGAAGCCATTCCCTCTAGTCCTATCACCAGTTAACACGAGAGAAGAGGCTGACCCCCAGCTCACCACAACCTCCCTTCAGGTAGTTATAGAGAGCAGTAAGGTCTCCCCTGAGCTTCCTCTTCTCCAGACTGAACAACCCCACCTCCTTCAGCCACTCCTCATAAGGCCTGTGCTCCAGACCCCTCACCAGTTTTGATGCCCTTCTCTGAACCCGCTGCAGGGGCTCAATGTCTTTTTTGCAGTGAGGGGCCCAGAACTGGGCACAGTATTCGAGGTGTGGCCTCACCAGAGCTGAGTACAGGGGGACAATCACTTCCCTGTTCCTGCTGGCAACGCTGTTTCTGATGCAAGCCAGGATGCCTTCTTGGCCACCTGGGAACACTGTCAGGTCATGTTCAGCCGAGCATCAATCAGTACCCCCAGGTTCATTTCCTCTACAGTCTTCCAGCCACTCTGCCCCAAGCCTGTAGCGTTGCCTGGGGTTGTTGTGGCCAAAATGCATGACCCAGCATTTGAACTTGTTGAACCTCATCCCATTGGCTTCAGCCCAGCTATCCAACCTGTCCCAGGAAGTATCAGGGTGATTGAGTCCCCTATGAGAACTGGTGCCTGTGATTGTGAGTCTACTTTCATCAATTTCCTCCTCCTAGTGAGGAGGCTTTAATACACACCCACAAATGTGTAACCTATATTAGCCTTTCTCTTAGTTCTCACCTGTAAGCTCTCTCTTCACTCATCATTCATCCCTGAACAGAGATCAGTACATCCAGTTTTCTCCCACACAAAGTGCAGCTCCATAGCATCATCTTGCTTGTCTATTTTTACCAAAAATACATACTCATCCATGAATGTGTTCCCGTCATGCGAACTGTGTCACCATGTCTCCATGATCTCAGTAAGATCATGGTCCTCTGACTGTACACCAATCCCTAATTCTTCCTGTTACTTGCAATGTTATGTCCATTGGTATAGAGTCACTTTAAAGAAGAAAAGGGAACAGGATTTATATTTCCTTAGGGTGATGCAAGAGGGTCATAGAATGATAGAATCTTAGAATGGCCTGGCTTGAAAAGGACCACAATGATCATCTAGTTTCAACCCCTCTGCAATGCTGCTATGTGCAGAGTCACCAACCACTAGACCAGGCTGCCCAGAGCCACATCCAGCCTGGCTTTGAATGCCTCCAGGGATGGGGCATCCACAACCTCCTTGGGCAACCTGTTCCAGTGCGTCACCACCTTCTATGTGAAAAACTTCCTCCTGAAATCTAACTTAAACCTCCCCTGCTTCAGTTCAAGACCATTCCCCCTTGTCCTCTCACTGTCCACCCTTGTAAACAGCCGTTCCCTCTCCTGTTTATAAGCTCCCTTCAAGAACTGGAAGGCCACAGTGAGGTCTCCACGGAGTGTTCTCTTCTCCAGCCTAAACAATCGCAGTTCCTGCAACCTTTCTTCACAGGATAGATGCTCCAGCCCTCTGATCATCTTAGTGGCCCTCCTCTGGACCCGCTTCAAGAGCTCCACTTTCTTCCTGTGCTGGGGGCCCCAGACCTGGACACAGCACTCCAGATGGGGCTTCACAAGAGCTGAGTAAAGGGGGGCAATCACCTCCTTCTCCCTGCTGGCCACCCCTTTTTTAATGCAGCCCAGGATATAGTTGGTCTTCCAGACTGCAAACACACACTGATAGCTCATGTCCAGCTTCTCGTCCACCAGGACCCCCATGTCCTTTTCCGCAGGGCTGCTCTTAAGGGGCTCTTCTCCCAGTTTGTATAAAATACGTGGGATTGCCCTGATCCAAGTGCAGCACCCTGCCCTGACCCTCATTAAGTTTTCATGGGCCCACTTTTCCTGCCAGTTCAGGTCCCTCTGGATGGCTTCCCTTTCCTCCAGTATGTTGACCGTACTCTTCAGCTTGGTGTCATCTGCAAACTTGCTGAGGGTGCACTCAATGCCATTGTCTTTGTCACTGATAAAGATGTTGAAGAGCACTGGTCTCAAGACTGACCCCTGAGGGACAGCGCTTGTGACCGGTCTCCACCCTAAAGATCCCCCTGAGGCGGCTGGCCTTCTGGCTTATGCGATGGAAGGCAGCTAAAGAACATTTGTCACTTTTCTGGTTGGCCTGCTTGTTTCACCAGTTAATTCAATGGCATGAGCATTTCCATTTTGGACACCATACCCCAAGCCCTTCAGTTTTAAAGCCCACCTCAATAAGTTTGCCAGCCTGCTGCTGAAGATAGGCCTGCCTTTTCTACACAGACATATCCCATCTGTCCATAACATGTTGTGATCCTCATAGAAATTCCCATCGTCATGAAAACTGAAAGGATTGTGTCAGCACCAGCCATATAGCTAGGAATTTGTACAGGCATAATATGTCTATTTCTGGCTGCCCTCTTTCCTCCAGCTGGCAAAATTGAAAAGATAACCTGGGCATCAGTCTTTTTCACTTGCACTCCCATGGCTTTATAGTATTTTTTAATTTTGCCCATATTCCAGCTTGCAGCGTCATTCATGCCCACAAGAAAAAGGAGCAGCAAATAATAGTCCATGCTCTAGACAAACTATTGCACTCTCTTTTCAGTATCTCATATCTTGGCTCCTGAGAGACAGAAAACCAATCAAGACTCCCTGTCAGGCTGACAGAAGGGACCCTTAGTGCCTTTTAAGGAAGAGTCACCAACTACAAGCACTCAGTGTGGTCCTCTGTAAGCTGTTGATATGACTTCTCCTTGCAGACCTTGGTAATGAGTTTGCACGAGCTTAGCATCTGCTTTTAGCTACTAAGAGAAGGTGGAGGCTGAAGTGGAGCCCTGCTTTTGTGCATCAGCAGGGACTAACGTGCCTCCTTCTCAGTATTATCCAGTCCTGGAATATGGTCCTTAAACAAGCTCTCTCTTTCTCTCTCTCTCAGCATCTCTAATGCTGTGCAGCCTTTTAACTGTTTCTTGCAACTCAGCCACTAGATAAAAGATCATCCTTGGGCAGGTACTTACCTTAACACCAGAAGAAGGTTCAAAGCACTTGGTGCAACCAACTACTTTAACCTAAGTCTCCTTTCTCACTCGTTCTTTCTGGCAGGATATATCAGGTATCTCTGAGGATTTTCTTGCAGGTGCACTGATTTTAATCCTCAAATGAATGCCCACCTTCATACTCACAGAAATCAGGAGCACTTCCCTGGTTGTGAATCTGCATGCAAGGTACAGAACCCTGCCTGAGTGAACTGCAGCAACAGAGTGCTGTTCCTAGATGAGAAGAAAGTGTTCTGCATTTTCTCTTTTCTACATGTTCTACCTGCACAAACTGCCATGCCACACCATGCCCTTACTGATTTTCCATGCCCTGGTCACCATGCTCCTGGTCACTCTAACTCCCTAGGGGCTGTCTCTGTATGTGAGGAGGGTTGCACCATCCTCACTGATGTTTCTCATCAGTGCATCTCCTTTCCTGCTCAGGTAGGGCTGGGGCTCCTATCTCTCCCTATGCTTCTGTCGTTGTGGTTTTTGCCATGGTTCTGCCTTGCTGGAAGGATTCTCCCAGCTGCCTCCATTCTGGAGCTGATCCTGTCAAAGTTATCGACATTATCCTTATCCTAAAACCAACACACAGCAATATAATATCTACTAAGAAGAAAGTTTCCTGTATGCCATCTGAAACTGGGACAGTAAGCTAAACAGATAAAATAGGAAGTGGTGCATTTTATTATTATTTTTAATCCCAGTATTGGAACAGTCTTCATGTATTTTGGGTCTTCACTGAATCTGTTGTTGAGTTCTTGTAGTAACTTAGCAATATCATGTAAACCTCTTTTACCCTTAGAACTGCAGCATGATTGTTTAGCAGTGTGATCATTCCACTTATCAGGCCAGAATTTGTCAGTGATTTGCAATATTTTTTTTTAGTTTTGTAAATAGTTGGGTGAGGAGAAGGTTGTATGTGAAATTTGTGGATCAGATCTTAACTTCAACAAACGTTAATTCTGTTGACATATTAATGAAGATTTTGACCAACACTTGCCAATGCTCAGTACTCAGCTGGCTTTTAGATCTGTTTTTAACTCTCCTAAATAGTTGTTTGCTACCTACTTTTTCTAACTCGAGAAAAAGGAAATTACATCAAAATAGAATTTATGATGTCCTTCTGATATTTGGAGCTATTGGATTGCATCTTTGAAAACAGAGAAATCTTTGTTGTAGGTCAATTAAAATATTTTAGAAATAGGTTATAAGATTTAGCCACAGGAATAAAAACCACCACAGGGATCTGCAGAAAGTGTCTTCCTCTTCATAATTATACCTGAAGTCTTCAGTTTTGCATTACATCCCTCTGGGTTTCTATTACAGATTTCTGAAATAAGTGCTCTGTAAAAGTAGTTAACTTCTTGTTTTTCTGTTTCAATAACACATTGCACATGCTATACAGTGTTTAGTTCTCACTTGTTCTCAGTATTCCATCTATCTTTGAGCATTATCTCCTATTTTGAACTTCTGAAAGTTTTCAGAAGTGTGTTCCAATTACTATTTTGTTTTCTCCACCAAATATAAAATCCAACTTTGATTCTGAGATATTTTCTGTGTACTGAGATTCCTTCCTCTCAGGTGAACACAGCAATTATTTCAAGTCTTATTAGGCTGAGAGAAGTCAGAGTGTAAACGCTTGTGTTAAGGTTTATTGAAGAGACATTTTATTTATAGCATTTCTGTCCACATAAAGCTTAGATGGTAAGATACCTGTTATTAAGAGTGCAATTTTGCAGGCAGGCATCAATGGAAGTAAAATGTTATTAAAAGAAAAAAAAGTATATATGCCCTTTTAAAGCGTGTAAACAGCAAAAAGAGCGCTGTAAGTAACATTGTTCTGCTACTTGATGATATTCACAAATTGGGATGGACAAAATTGAGACTTTTATGCCTTCTTTGCCTCTGACTTCAACACTAGTGATGTGTACTACAGGTCCTACGAGGTAGAGGATTGTGACTTCTCTAACAACAAACTCCCAGCCAACCCAAATTTGTGCAAGATTTTCTTCTGGATACATGTAACTCTTTTGGGCCTGAAAGAATTGATCTCAGAGAGCTGGCTGAAGTCACCATCAGCTCTTCTAGCTGTTTTTAAATGGTGTGGGAAATATGGAGAGGTCCCAGTAAATTGGAAGCTGGCAAATATTATGAACATACCAGTTTTCAAGAAGAGTAAAAAGGAGAACCCTATAATTACAGACCTATCAGTCTCACTAAATTACGGAAATTATTCTGTGAGTTATTGAAAAACACCTGAAAGACAATTGGAGAGTTACGGAATGGCTTGGATTGAAAGCCACCTTAAATATCATCTACTTCCACCCCCTCTGGCATGAACAGGCTTGCCACCTGCTAGATCATGTTGCCCAGGGCGAATTCAACCTGAACATGGATACTTCCAGGGATGGGGCATCCATTGCATACAAAGCTTCTCTGTGCAACCTGTGTCAGTGCCTCACCATCTTCTCAGTAAAAAATTTATAACATCTATCTGAATCTCCCCTTTTAGTTAAGAACCATTCCTTCCTTGCCCTATCTCTATCAGATCTTGTAAAAAGTCATTCTCTTTCTTTTTCATAAGGTGCCTTTAAGTGTTAGAAGGTATCAGTGAGGTCTCCCCTGCAATTTTTTTTTCTCCCTGAGCCTAGCTCCCTCAGCTTTTGCCTTTCTAAGGGGGATGCTCGAGCCTCCAATCATCTTCATGATTCCAGCCTCCTCTGAATCCACTCCAACAGCTCTGCATCCTTCCTTTACTGGATGAAGCAGACCTGGATACAGGACACCAAATGGGGCCTCAGAAAGGCAGAGCAGAAGGGGAAGGTCACTGTCCTCATCCTGTTGGCATCCCCTTTTTTGATGCACCAGAGGATACAGTTGGTCTTCCAGGTTGCAAACGCACACTGCTGGCTTACTTCCAAGTTTTCATACATTAGGACTCCAAAGTCTTTCTCGGCAGAGCAGCTCTCAATAAGTTCTTCTCCCAGTCTATACTATTGTCTGGGATTGCCCTAACAGTGATAGAGATACTATGTCACTGGTTCCGAGCCAACACAAGTTCATGAGGGTTTTGTCTTTGTTAATTAAATGGTCTTAATTTTATTTTATAATAAGGTTGCCCATCAGATTGATCTAGGGAATCCAGTAGATGTGAACTTCTTGGATTTCAGGAAAGTTTTCTGTACTGTCTCCCTTAGTATCCTCCCAGAGAAAATGTTGAGTACACATCTAGACAAAAACAAAATGTTATGAGTGAAAATTGGCCTGCAGGTTGAGCTTGAAGCATTAATGGGCTCAAAGCATTATGAGGTCACGTTGTGAGGCTGATGGCCAGCCACTAATAGTGCTCCCGAGGCTCTGTTTGAGGACCAGTTTTTTTCAGTGTTTTTCTACTTTATGAATACAAGTCTCAAATGTATACTAAGTAAGTTTGTGGACAATGCTAAATTGAAAGTTGACTCCCTCAAGGGTAAAGAGCCCTTGCCGAGGGATTTTGACATATTTCAGTACTGGACAATCACCAAGCAAATGAAATTTAGAAACAGCAAGTGCTCGATTCTGCCCCCCCAGGTCACAGCAACCTTGGATATAGACTGGGAGGCTAGAGGCAGGAAGGCAGGCCCCTGGAAAGGGATTTGGGGGTTCTAGTTGACAGCAACATGAATATGAGTCAGCAGTGTGCTCTGGCAGCATAAGGGCCAGCTGTACTCTGGGAGTGCATCAGGCCCAGCACTGCCAGAGGTGGAGAGGAGGGGTTGTCTTGCTCTACTCTGCTCTGCAGCCTTCACTCTGAGCACTGTGTGCAGTTCTGGGCACCACTACGTGAGGAGGACATAAAACTATTAGAGAGCTTCCATGGGAGGGATATGAACATGGTGAATGGTCTAAGAGGGCAAGACATATAAGAAGTGGCTGAGGTCCCTGGGTTTGTTCAGCTTGGAGCAAAGGAGGCTGGGGTGAGGCCTCATGGTGACTGCAGCTCTCATGAGGGAAGCAGAAGGGCAGCGCTGAGTTCTGTTCTCTGGTGACAGTGACGGGGCCCAAGGGAATGACATGGAGCTGTCATGGAGGGTGAGGGAGTGTTAGGAAAAAGTTCTTCACCGGGACATGGTGGGCATGGAACATGGATGGTCTGTGTGGAGTGAGAAGTTGGAGTCAGTGTGCCTTGTGAGACCCTCAACTTGATATATTTTATGATTCTGTGAAAATACTGTAGGTGAATAATTGCTTATTAATAAAACAGCCTGGCCTATGCGTGTGCTTGGATAGAACACCTACAAAGGTATTGCACTTAACGAATACAATATGAAAAGTATTTAAATTTTTTTTTCCGAATAGAAATTTACAGTCTGAAATGATGTTTACAGAAGTGTTAGTGTTGTAAATTGTGTTAACTTGTTTCAAAGAAGTCTTCTGAAATCCTAGAAGGCAAATGTCTGGATGTGGTTGCCTTGTAAAACAGAAACAACAAATTGCAGGTAATGAAACATCACTTGTATTCGTGTGGGGTTTTTCTAGTATTTTTCTTGACCTGCCACTTTTCACAGGTGGGCTCATGTAATGTGTGCAATTGCTGTTCCAGAAGTCAGATTTGGTAATGTCACAGAACGTACACCGATAGACACTAGCAGAATACCTTTACAAAGATTAAAATTGGTGAGTACTACATTCATATATACTTTACGTATTCTTTGCTATTAAGATATTCCAATATTTTGAAATGTATTCAAAATCTGAATTTTAATTATTATTGCCAATTACAGAGAATTAAACTATGTTTAAGGTTAGAAGTACGTAACTGAGGCTTTACTGATATTAACCTGTTACTTTTTACAAATAATGGTAATTCATTAACATCATTTACAGTCTCTGGTATTTCTTTAAAAAAGTTTGAATCTGTCCTCCCCCAGATGAATAACAGAAAACTTGACCAGTATCAACCGTGACAGTTCAGCTTCTGGATTTCTACTGACAATGAAAGCACTGAAACCTAGACTATGAATATCACATAGTACATATTTGTGAGATCTTTTTATTATGTATTTTTGCCTCGAGGAACAATTTGTTGAGGTAAAAAGTTGTATGATCTGGTTGTCATGCAGTATCTCTACCATCTGGATATTGAAAAGCATGCATAAAACAGATCACACATTATATTGAATTGAAAAACACAAAACCCTTTCCTAAGGAATTCTGAAAGCTGTTGTAAAAAATAAATATAAGTATATCCACTGCTAACATTCTGGAAGGTTGATTTACAAAACTGGGGGACATATTCAAGAGCAAGTTAGGATAATGTTCCTTGCTATGTTACAAAGAAAATTAGTAAATTTGACAGAGTTTGCATCACTATGATATCATCTTCTGCAAAAAGATGGCTTGTGGACAACTAGAATGATGTAAGGAAATGATGTCATCAAATTTCTGCACCTGCTTTGTGCTTTTTCAGAAATATTTCTTGATTTACCTGACCATAAACTAATTACTTGTACAGTTTACATAATATTCCTGAATGCTATTTTAGGATTTGTCTAGTTTAATGTCCTCTGTGTAACAGAGGAATGGAGTGAGTGTTTTTTCATCATCCTTCCCTTTAATTTTGTTTCTCATAACTTCAAAATCTTGAATTTTTTAGTTTCTTTAATAACATACATGCAAATTCTCTCTGTGACAGAAGATATCTTAGGATCTTGTTTGAACAGGCAGTGTCTTCTCAAATTGTTTGTGACAGCCCTAGATCTTTCCTCATCTGAAAATATAACCAGTAGAAGCACTGAGAATTGATTCAAGGTTTTTATATGTTTTGAGGATCATAAACAGTCACAGACAATTGTCTGTTTGGAAGTGATTGATCCAGATGTTGAAACCACAAAAATATGTAGTTTACCCAGTACTGAAATTCCTCCTTTTATGAGATGTCCATTCCTTGAACTGTACAAAAGTAATAGAAGCATTCTGGAGAAGGCTTGAATTAATTTTAAATTATTTGATATAAAGGTATGGAATCAGAATGCACAAAATTTGTGAAGTTGTGCGATTTACAATTTCTAGGTCATTTCTGCTGATTACAAGGCAATTATGTTAATCAGTTATTTATAACTGGCAACTTTGTTTTTCCTGCAGTTGGTAAAAAATTGGTTGCAGTCGTGGTTTTTTCAGTTCTTGAAGCCTCTTTCAGAATAAAATGACATTGATATGCTATGGATTGTCTATAGCTACACATACCCTTTCCATCTCAAGCAAGTTCCTGATTATTTAGAAATACAGTGCTTGCTTTTAAGTAAGAATTTATGTATTTGATTGAAATTAATATTCTGATGAAGAAACTCATTTAGATGCAGAAAAATCAGTGGTGGGGTGCTTTATAATAGCCATCTATGTACTACTGCCCCAGGTAGTGAGTGGATGGCTTTACTGTGAAGAAAGGAAGCACTGTAATCTTGGATTGGCTCATTAAACCTTACTTTTCCAAGACGTCATTTTAGACATTGAATTTATAATGAAATAGCTAGGCTTGTTCTAATTTAAGGGAAGTATGCAGTTTGACAATCTCTCAAAGGCCCTATCGTGATATAATGTCAGTAAATCTATAAATTGCTGTTCTGTGGTTAAAGGAGTAGATAAAAATCTGCTCTGAAAAACACCAGTAGCCTGTCTGTTTTTAAGTTACAGTGTATTTCTACTACAATGACATGGTAGTTTTTTTTATTTTTTTTTAATAATAGGTATTTGGTGGAATTGCATGGCTATTTGATATTTTCTCAAAATATTTTAAAGCCCCATGTGTTAGATATTTTTTGTAAATTCCTTAAACATGAGCTTCGTATTTCTCTGCTACTGTCAGTAATACTGAATAAGTCAAATGTCATCACTGTGTTAGTCTTCTTAACTATTGATTCTGCAGAATAACATTCATACTCTCATGCCCACTGACTTCAGAGTCCTTGCCTTGGAGAACCCTAAGCATGGTGTTATGGTAGCTCTCAGAATCCGTAAGCAATCGATTCAGGCCAGTTTTGCCTTTTAAAATTGCAAGGCTTGCCAGTAACACTCTTCAGCAGCCAATTCCTTTTCCATTTCTGTCCAATTTTTTAGGTTATGGGTATGCTTTTTCATCATTATCCACCATTCAGCACTATTGTTTTGTACTTCTTTTGCTCATATTGAGTACTCATAAGTAATATATGTTTTAAAAACTACATTTTGGGGACTATCTTTAAAATATTATTCATATTAAAGCCTGGGATAGCTAATAGTTACAGTTGGTCCTATTATGTTTAGTTGCTGTCCAATATGTTTTGTTGCTTTATTTATATGCACAGAAAACAACAGAAAACAAGTACAGAAGGATATAGTACATTCTGGGGTGTAGCCAAACAAGATCTAGATGTAACAATGTGAGAATGAATAGTTCTAATTGTTTTAAATGTTGTAAATATTTATCTGTCTGCTTCCTTCTGTATCCTTTCCTCCATTCCCTCATTACTTTCCCTTTTCTCTCCTTCCTCTCTCTCTTTTTCTCTGAAATAATAAGAAAAGCAAATAAGCAGAGCATCTATTGTTTTCAGAAATCTGTAGAGACTGGGCTGACATTTTCTTTAATGTAGCATCTACAAAAGAATATAAAAGGAAATAAAAAGTCAGTGTTTGCTTTTTGACAAATTAAAGAACATCTGTGCAAATGGGAACATATTGGTAGGTTATTTTTATTGCCTAGTTGATATGTGTAGTGATTGCTGTTAAATAGTTTTAATTCACTAGACATTTTTGGGTTGAAATCAATGTGTTTTCTGTAAGTCTTTCTATTGTTAAATATCATATATTAATTTATTTCAGAGTCAATTCCATTTTTGCGTTTTGCATACAGTAGTTCATAGGTACAACATTGTTTTATAAAACAATTTAATGTTTGCAAATTTTTCTTTTCATAGAATGCCAAAATGTTTTTATATTTACCTGTTTTTTTAGTGGGTTATATGTCATGTTCTGTCATTGTTAAAAATTCATGACACACAAAGTGTTCATGAAATACTAAATCCCTTGAAAATGATTCTTTTGTCAATGAAAATAGTCTTAAATCAGTACTGATAGAAGATTTTGTTGTTGTGTTTTTCATTAAGAAAAAAAAAATGGTACATACATGGTGTGTTAAGATAAAACAAGTTGTATCACGCCTTGTAGTTTTGAGCTGTATTTCCATGATATTGGTGTTATCTAGCTAACTTTAATGTGGAAGCAAGGCCTTCCACTCGACTTCATTGTAGAGAGAAACCCACGAGGATGCTGTCTTCTCTTTATTTTCCTCTAGTAGTAACTTTTCTCTGTTTTTGAAACTTTGTGAATGGGAAAATGAGATTATCCTGATCACTTTTGACAGTCAGGTCTGGGTATTCAGTCTAGACTGTCATATCCAACAGGCATTTTGAGTTCCATTAACTGTGTAAAATTAAAATTTGTGATTATTTAACTAGAAAGCAAGTATTTTGGATTTAAAATTCAGACTCTTACACTCAAGTTCTAAGATGAAATGGCTGGAAGACATACCTCACCACAACATAATTTTTAAAACATCGTATGGAAATTGCTCTGCAAAGACTTTGAATCAAAGAATCATGTAGGTTGGAAAAGACCTTCAAGAACATCAGGTTCTACTGTCAATGTGTCCTACCAAGTCCCCAGCACTAAGCCGTGTCCCTTAGTGCCATGTCTGTATGTGTCTTAAATATCTGCAGGTATGGCAGCTCCACTGCTTTCCAAGGCAGACTGTTCTGATGCTTGACCGCTCTCTCTGTGAAGAGAGTCCCATCTAAATCTCTTTTGGCATGATTTGAGACCATTTCCTCATGTCCTACCACTTGTCAACTGCGAAAATTAACTGACAGCTTCCTCACTGCTACCTTCTTTCAGGTAGTTGCGGAGACCTCCAGAAGTTCCCTCTCCTGCTTCTTGTAACTTTTGTTTTCTAGTACTTTTTCCAGCTTTAAGTCTTCTCTGCACAAGCTAGAGCAACTCAGTAACCTTCTTGTAGTGAAGGACCCCAAACTGAACACAGTGTTCAAAATGTAGTCTCACCTTTGCCAAATACAGAGGGACAATCATCTGTCCAGTCCTGCTGATCATACTATTTCTTCTGCAGGCCAGAATGCATTGGCCTTCTTGGTCATCTGAACACAGTGCTGGCTCATGTTCAAGTGGCTGCCAGTCAACATCTCCAGGTCCTTTTCTGCTGGGCAGATTTCCAGCCACTCTTACCCCAGCCTGTAACATTTGTGGGGTTGTTGTGACTCAGGTGCAGGACCCACCACTTGGCCTTATGTGACTGGACTCAGCCCATTGATTCAGCTGACTCACAGTCTTGTGCAGAGCTTTCCTATTCTCAAACAGATCAACAGTTCTATCTAGCTTGGTATTTTTTGTGAGCTTTCTGAGGATGTACTCAATCCCTGTCCAGATCACTGATAAAAATGGTAACCAAAACTGGCCCTGGCACTGAGCTCCTGGAAACACCACTGGTGTTCAGCTGCTGACTGGTTTGAACTCCCTAAACAATGGCTCTTACAGCCAGTCCACCCAGCTAGCTCTTCACCCAGCAAACCATACACATCTAAGCCATAAGTAGCCAGTTTCTCTAAAAGAATGCTGTGGGAAAAGTGTCA